ATTTTGTAAGACACTTAATCCTACACCAAGAGGAACTGACGTGTGACTTGTAGCGCAGACTGCAAGAAAGAGCAGAATTCTCTCCTGACTGTTCACAGATACAGGTCAAGTATTTCTTACCCAAAATGCTACGGACCAGAAGTCATTCTGATTTTGAATTTTTTTTTTTTTTCAGATTTGGGAACATATGCAGGTACATAATGAAGTTATCTGAGACCCAAGTCTAAACATGAAACTTACTTTCATTTCATATATACCCTATCCAGTTAGCATGAAGGTCACAATATTTCTAACAATTTTGTGCATGAAACAAGGTTTCATGGTATGCAATTTTCCATTTGGAATATCATGCTGATGCTCAAAAACTTCTGAATTTGAAGCATTTTGGATTTTGGATTAGATATGCTCAACTTGTTTTACTAAAGCATTGATGGTCATATTCTATGGATATAACAGGCCTCCTCCATTTGGTAAACTGCGTATTCCAACACAAGCACAAACACAAAATGGCAGGGTATTTGATCACATGCACCATGACAAGCCATTGTATAGGATAATCAGGGGGAAAAGCTGACTGCCAATGACTTCCCATTTTCTAATGAAACTAAGTCAAAGCAGTGGTAAGAATAAGCAGCTCACTCTGCCAATGAAAATCACTTTTTATTCCTTGCAGAACATGTGGGCCTGCTTGGAGAATACCAATGAGCACAGGTAAGTCCTAACTCCATTCAACCTGGGCTTTAATTCTGCAGCAGGACTCTCACCATACTGGGTCCGCACACCAGTAAGGCAAAGATGTAGATTTGGGGCAAAAGTATGGCAAGTTTTCCTGCAAAAGACATAGATCATTGAATTGCTTAGGTTTCCGGCGCTCCTGAAAGGTAAGAGGTGTTTGATGCTAGAATAAGGGATCAGTTTTAGAATCCTTGAATTGAGAGAATTTATAGTTAAAGAGATATTTATAGTCCAGAGAAACACTAGTGTTTGGGATTTCACATGAGATTCCTGGGACGATTTCCTGTCTCATATTTAGCCAAACACATGGCCTGCTCCAGGTCATGACTCCTGCTTCAATTGCATCACTTGTTTGGAGGCAAACATAGAAACATGAAGGTACTGTCACGTCGGAGCCGTAAGGATTATTCTTAGGCTGCAGGGGCTGCACTCCCCAGAGGGTTGTGAGGATTTAGCAATACTGCTAGAGAAATGTGAAACAGGCAGTTACAGCCTTGACCGGTTTAAATATGATCCAGGACAACTTAGCACCCTTGCCCAAAGTGGGTTCAGTGGGAAGTTTATAGGTGCTTTGTGTAAAATGGGTCTGTGATTAAAACAAAACAAAACCAAATCAAAAACACCTTGAGGGTTTTATGTTAATTAAAGTCAAATGCATTTTCTTTTCTGTAGGCTTTTTTGAATCCTCCAAAATGAAACAGGAAACGTGAATTTATAAGAAAGTCACAAGAGATGCAGAGTTTCCCTAAAGTACTGGACTTCCATGGTTTTCGGTTTTAGTTTTTTCTCTTCAAAACAATAGGTAACTGGAACTCCAGAAATTGCAAGGTATGAAACACGGGTAGAAAGGGCTCTTAGCCAACTTAGCTAAAAAAAAAAAAAAAAGGAAAGACAGTATCCAGACACCATGGAGAGCAGCTCAAGTTAAGGACTGGGGGAGGGGCTAGCAGAGCTACCCTTCAGGAAGGAGCAGTTACCTTACTAATTAAAACCTATGCTATTAAGCAAGGACCAGGCCATGGCAGCCACCAGTAGCATGGAGACATTAGGCTGCTTACAGGTTCCAGGATTCTAGGGGTCCTGTACATATTTCTGATGTTGAGTTGCTAATCAGCTATGTAATATTCTATTTGTTCATGTCTCTCCCCTCTGCCTGCCCAGGACTGTCCTTGAAGACATAATGCACGACACACTCACCTCTGTCTCAGGGCCTGCCTGGTACAGAATTTCACAGAGGAGTGTGGGATCCAGGACCAGATGGTCAGAAGGTCCATCCTTACCTTTGTCACCTTAACCTCAGATACAGCATTAATCTCCAAGATAAACAGAGAACACAGGAAACCAAATAACCCAATCAATAAGTGGGTAAAGGAACTGAACAAACACTTCTCAGAAGAAGAAGTACAAATGGTCAACAAATATGTGGAAAAAAAAATGTTCATCACCTCTAGAAATTAGTGAAATGCAAAGTAAAACCACACTGAAATTCCACCTCACTGTAGTCAGAATGACAATCATTAAGAATACAAGTAACAATAAGTGGTGGTGAGGATATGGGGAAAAAGTTCCACCCATCCATTGCTTATAGGGCTGCAAATTGGTGCAACTACTCTGTAAAGCAGTGTGGAGATTCTTCAGAAAACTTGGAATGGAACCACCATTTGACCCAGCTATCCCACACCTTAGTATATACCTAAAGGACTTAAAATCAGCATATTCCAGGGATGCATCCACATCAGAATTTATAGCAGCTCAATTTGCAATAGCTAAGCTATGAAACCAACCAATGTGCCCTTCAACAGATGAATGAATAAAGAAAATGTGGTGTGTGTGTGTCTGTGTGTAAACATACACACAGACATACACACACAATGGAATATTATGTAGCCATAAAGAAGAACGAAATTATCATATTTAATGATAAATAGATGGAATTGGAGACTATCATGCTAAGTGAAATAAGCCAATCCCCCCCAAAATGAAAGGCTGAATGTTCTACTTATGCTAACACACAATAAGAAGGGGAGGGAAGAATAGAAGTACACTGATTAGACAAAAAGGAGTGAAGGTGAGGGTGGGAATAGGAAAGACAGTAGAATGAATTAGACACACAACTTTCCTATGTTCATATATGAATACACAACCAGAGTAACTCCATATAATGTACAACTTATAATTTGAACAAGTTCGACTTCATGTATGTATAATATGTCAAAATACACTTACTGTCATGTATATCTAATAAGAAAAAAAGGGAAAGAAAGAAAAAGAAAAAAAAAAAAGCCCACCCTTTCATGAGTGCACAGTGGCATAGGTGACCCACAGCAATGCAAAGAGACCTACTATGCTTGTTGTTTCTGCTTGGTTGGTTTTGTTGAGTTCACATAAACCCAACCAGGAATGAAATGCTATGCAAATGTTCTCTTTACTGAGAGGTGCTTTTGTTATTTGGAATGCTGCTGTGAGGTACTTTGATCTGAATCTTTTTGATGCTTTAGTTACTGACTTTGGGAAGTGGCCTTATTCTCCCTGGGCCTCAGATTCCTTCTAAGCACATCTCTAGTGTGAGATGTGGAAAGAAGCCAATAAGCATCCTAGCATAATGGCCACCATGGTGTTTGTGGAAAAAGAAGCAGCACTCTGGCTACATCTTCCTGTGTGCTGATTTAACGTCTCAATTGCCCACACAAGACCAGTACTGATCCGATAGCCTCCTTTGACAGATGAGGAAGTTCTGAGGCTTTCAGAGGTACCACTGCTCAGAAGGGGTAGAAGTAGGTTCCCAAACCCCATCTCACACGAGCTGAAGTTCTCTCTGTATACACTGGGCCTCCCAGGGCAGAAGGGAAGAGGTCGTCCAGGTAGGATCTCTCCTGAGAGGTGTGAGTGTTAGGATGCAAGCAGAACGATGGGATGCAGTTTGAAAGATGCTGATTAAAGAGGATTTCATCTTTATAAATGATGGGAAGAGCTGATGCATCTCCTATGCTGATTTTCGTGTTGGGGAAGCCATGAGTGACCATCACAGACAGTGGCCACACAGCTGCTGGACTTATGAAATGCAGGACTCTGGGCTTCACCTGCTATCAGGCTATATTTGCTGCAGGAAACCAAAGACCCAACCCGACTGGCTTCCATGATAAGAAAACTTATCTTTTACAAAACAGCATGTCTGGGGCAGGTATCCTCAACAGGCTCACATTGTCTCTGCAACCCGAGCTGGTGAGACCAGAGTTGGGCATGTCATCAGGAGGTAACTGCTGCATACATTATGAGCCAGGTGCTCATGAAGAAGGAAACTGAGGCAATGTCTGGAAGGATCCTCTGACGCTGAGGATTCCTCTCTCTATTCCCATCCTGCTAGGGCCTGATAACTGCTCTGAGTGGCCACAGCCAGGTGTCCCTGGCACTCAGGATAAAATTCAATTAGATCCAGGTTCTACCAATGGATCTCAGAAAGAATCAGAAAAGATAACATAGAAGATTGTGGAGGTCCAGAATGAGGCCTTCGAAGTGATGCAGGCAAACTGTTTCAGGATACACAACCAGGCCTTATCTGATGCCCATGAAGCAGGAGGCAGTGTCCTCTCTACACCACACATCCTACAAAACAAACTGCATGTGGTGGCCAGGACTAGATTTTCCCACTGAAGATGGTCTAACATCATAGTATATTCATCAAATTGTAGTTAAAGTCTCAGAAGAATTCATTTTGATCATTAATAAATGTGGGTGCAGAAGCTTGTGCGAAGGCATTAATTTGGTTCCAGAAAATAAAATTTTAAAGTTTGAGTAAAGGGAGAAGAGCTGATTGGAGCAAAGACAATATTTATGTTTCATTAATGATGGGGTTACAGTATGAGACTAATTGTATTTAAACAGCAGATGGAAAAATGTGCTGTAACAAGTCATTATGTGGCCACATGAAAATCTTTATTGGCTGAAAGAAAGAGCAGCTTGTCAAAGCCTTTCCAAAGTACCCACTGAGCTCAACTTAAATTCAGAAATAAAGAAGTTGTTATTAGCATTTCTACGTTTTCCTAACTAGAGCTCCTCCTGGGGGCTCTCCTGGCCTCCTTCCTTCTCTC